GAAAAGTAAAATTTCTAAAGAACGATTAGTTTATTTTGGTTACTGATGTTAAAGATTTTGATAAAATATTTATATTGGAATTGAAGGATGGTGTTTTTCAAGAAAATCAGCAAAAGACTATTCAATTGAGTTAAAATAACAATGACATTGATATGTACTTATTTCCAATAGTTTATAATAAATAAAAGAATGTGATAATTGTAAGATATAAATTTTACATATATATCATTCGAGAATTGAACAATGGTTAGTTCAAAATAGTTGATTAATTGAAATTTAATACCAATGATATTTATGGAACAATCACAAATAATGGATAGTATTTAGTTTATTGGTATGATGAGAAGTAGTTTTATTCAACATATGAATTATTATATAAATGAAAATTATTAATAATTTAAACTTGAATCATTATTTATAATAAAAATCCTAAAATAATGTTTAAAATCAAGCCTATTTTTTAGTTTGTATTTAAATTCAATATAAATTATTTCTTAATTTATTTTCTTTTTAGTCTTAAGCAAATATTAAAAATCTTTTCCTTAATTATTATTATTAAAAGGACCTTTCAATTTCAAAAACATATTTAAATAAAAGTATGCGTTTGATTAATTTTTTAAAAGAATTTAAATGTAATAAAAATTAAAATGATCATAGAAAGGGAAATTAAACGTAAAAAAATTATTAATTTTAATTCGAACTTATATTAATAAATAGATTTAATGTATCTAAAATTATCTTATTCATTTAAATATATAGATCTTATTAAATTAATAATTTAAATAGGTATTGATCCCAATATAATTGAAATAAGCAATTTACCAATCTATGCAAAATTTTAGATCCATTTAGTTAAGTTAAACATATTCAGTGAATCTTTTTTCTTAGATTAGTAGAAAGTTTCAATTTTTAAATTCTAATTTAGTAGATATGCCTTTAAATCTTATATCATTTACTATTAGAATAATTTTGGAAATATTGGTAAAATTCAAGATAACTAAATGACATCTGAATTACTTTTAAAAAAATAAAGAGCTATTAAAATATTCTAATTTAAATATCAAATACCAATCCATTCATGATTTAAGATTCATCAAAAATCATTATGAAAACTATATACTTTTTATTAAAGAGTGAATTAAATAATTGATTTGCTTATTACAAAATCACCTCAGTTAGCAGGAAATTATTTGAATGCTCTAAATTATTATGAGGAACAGTATTATATCATATTATAAATCAAATGGTAGATTAAAAAGATGAATGACCTTTTAGATGATAAGTTTTAAAATAAATTCTGTTACGCATTCTTCATTATTCTAAATCAAAATCATTAGTAACCCTTCTTTAATCGATTTGCATTAATATGAATTGAATTTAAATTGAAAGAATTTGATTCTTTTTAATATGAACAGTAATTTTTGTTTTTTATTAACGTAATAATTTAAAATTTCTATATCTTGATTTTTTCATATTTACATATTCTTTTTAATATTTAAATAATATAGGAAAAAGTAATGGGAATCAATTAATAAAAATATCGCAAATTCAAAATTAGTATAGGATACTTTCTAATAAGCAATAACAGATAATTTATTATGGGATTTCATATATTCTATAAATTTAAGATGCCTTAGTCTCAATTTTGAATCCTAATCAATTATAACTACATGCCTTTACAAAAGCATAATTCTTATTTAATCTTTATTATTACACTCTTCATCTATTTTAGGTTTTTAAGGTAATATTTAATATTGCGAAATACTACCTTAAATTGAAGTAATATTATTTTAACTTTATAATATAAAGGTAAATATTATCTCTGAAAAGTTTTCAGATTAGGAAAGGATATCTTTTTCAAAAATGATAGAAAATGAGAAATCTCTGCAATGTGCTTTGAATCATTAACTTCCAATCGTTTACGTTCTTCTTAATCCTTCTATATCTAAATAGCAGAGACTATTGTGTACCGAATGTTTGGATAATGTAGATTTTGAAGGAAAAGTAATTGGTTTCAAAAAAATTATTCAAATGATAGAAGAATAATAACATTAGAAAATGAATCTAATAGAAAACACGATAATTTAGTATATTTAATAGATTGAATCCTTTCATAATCTGATCAGTCAAATGAAATCAAATATAATTTTACAATTAGAACAATTAAGTACAATTCTTAAAGATTGGATCTCTAATCTGTATTCTATAGGATTGAAACATTCGCAATACAGTTTTAATGATGAATTAGAAATCATAATAAATAAAAACAATTATATGAAATCGAATCCAACTTCATTCGTCAAAGATATCAGCAGAGAGTACAACAATTAGAATTCTAAGGCTGCATCTAAATTGGAATAATACAATTAATTTCCAGAATATAACAAATGCAAACAAATACTATCAGATATTTAAATAGATCTATCAAAGTAAGAATAATTTGAAAATCTTAATAACAATTCAATAAATAAAATAATTGAATTAAAAGACATTATTTAAATATAATTTTTACAATTATTATAAGAAAAAGATGTCAAATTTAATTTTATAGATTAATCTGTGAAATAAAAGGAGGCTTGTGTAAGTATAGTTTTCAATTCTTCTGGATCAATTATGGTATCTACTAATGAAGAAGTAATTAAAGTATGGAATTTTAATAGTGGAAGAATTTAATTATTGTAAAATTTGTAATAACATGAAAGCTGGGTTAATTGTTTAATCTACAGTAGAATATAAAAGGCATTTTTATCATGTTCAAGTGATAATACAATAAAAATTTGGAAATTAAAGAAGGAAAATTAATGGATTAACTCAGAATCCAATAAATAACATACTGCTGAGGTATTATGTTTAATTATAAATTAAAATGAGGATCAATTATTCTCTGGAGGTAATGATAAATCAATTAAAGTTTGGTAATTAGATTTCAGTAATGATAAACTAATTTATTAATATTCTTTGGAAAAACATAAAAGTATTGTATATGAAGGGAGTTGATTAGTGTCATGCGGAAATGATGAGAATGAAATAATAATTTGGTAAAGAGGAATTTAATAAAAAT